AAAAAAAAAAGGTAAGATGGTCTCTTTAGATACATGGTATTTTATTTTATGATAATGAAAATGCACATTGTGTTAAAATAGTTATATGTATCCCTGTTAGAAGTTAGAGTAGAGCAGTAGAGCATTTAGGCCTGAGTAAAAGCATGAAGGCAGAATTTTTGCTTCACTGCACACTGTTCTAAGGCATGTAGCTGGTGCAGTTGGTGGGCCTGAATTGCAAGCTGTGCAGCATTTGCAAAGCCAGTGTTGCAGGATGGAGCTGTGATCATAGGGAGGGGGTACCTTTCTCAATTCTCACAGGGCATCTGTTTAAATGGTTAAGGGCTGACAGTGAGTTTGGTGCATGTTTTGGAAAGCATATTTTATATATTTTTCAAGACTCTGAAGTTTAAAATAAGATTTTCTTTAGGACATCATTTTTCTTACATTCTATGCTATTCTCTCTGAAACCAGGCAATAATTGGTATATGAAATTTCATTTGTGGAAATTTACTCTTGTCATGAGACATGTATGCCACTTATGTTTACAGACATCAGAGCAGCTTAAAATTATATTAGACCTCTATTGGAGAGTTAAAATTAGTATTTTAAATGTTAAGTCATATCTATCACATAGATAAAAAACGAACATATTAACATTTTATTTAGTCTCCCATGATTATGATAGAAATGGACAACTCATTCCACAATTTACTTTTCTACTCAAGTATGAGGACCCATACTTTATGATTTTGAAAATACACAATATTGTCTTACAACTACATCATGTAATCGCAATGCTGGGGAAGCAAAGATAGGATGATCCCTGAGACTTGATGGCCATGCACTGTGGTCAGGTCAGTGACCCCAGGATCTAATGTGAAAACATGTCTCAGAAGAGTATGTAGATAGTGATTAAATAAGACATGAGATAATATCCTCTGTTTTCCATATGCATATGGATGAATATGTATTCCCACACATACTTGAATATGCATGAACACAAACACATACATACACAGAAAAATCATGGAAATAAATCTGCAAATGTGTTTAAATGTTGCTTTTCCATGTAATGAGAGATGTTAACTGAATATCTGCTAGTCAACATTCATTTGAACATCTACAGACAAGAATTAATGATAGTTGTTAAGTTATATATCATATATAGGGAAATAAAATACCTCAAAGATAAGCAAGGGCTGTAATCAGGAAATGTAGAAGGTCATGTTATAAACAATGAATATTATTTAAGGAGAATTTCTAATATTGGAGTATTTTTAAGATTTCCCAAACCATATTAGATATTATAGCCCCCAAATCAATCAAATCAATCAAATTAACACCTATTAGTCAAAACTTGTAGAAGTACTCGTGTTGATTTCATGAAATCCTAAAAAATCAAGCAAACTTTGTAGTCCTGACTTATTATATCTTAACATTAAAATGTAGATGCACATACATATATAAATAAGCTAACAAATATTGAGATGTCATCTTCAGAGAATATTTTCTCCCATGATAAACAGACAATTTAAGTAAGAAACAAAAAAAAAAAGAAACATGAAGTATACATGGCTATAAATTCTTTGTTGTTTTTTACCATTACAAAACTGAAATGAAGGCATTCCTTTAAAACGTAGTCAGGAAGGATTCTGCATTAAATTTGTGAACATGATGGATTTTAAAAGGCATCGAGTTCATTTTCATCTGAAGGAAAGCATGAAAACTGAAAGAACCAAGCCCTCTTCTTATGATATTTTTTTGTGACGTGAACATTAAATTTTCCATATCACAATTAAGTTTAGAAATTTTGTACAGCTTAGGAAAGTATTTAAGTAGGTATGTTGTAAATTTAACTTAATAACCCTATAACAAAAATGACAAGAACAAAGTCCAGGTAATGAAATAGCAGTTTTCCCTGAAATGAGCTTTCTTAAAGTAATTTTTGTAAATGCAGTTCACAGGCTTGTTCTAAACATAAGTGAACACCATATCAAAGAACTATAACTTTACTTGAACTTGTATTAGTATTTTAAATATAGATACCAATCTTCTATATACAGAAAAAAATACACATCCTTTGCACATGGTAGAAAACCAAATTGTAGACTAGCTTTCATGAAATATTTCTACTTTTAAAAATGGATAGGATCTTTTTCTTCTAAGTTCTTCAAAAAATTTGGCGTTGTCAGACTATGTAAATTCTTTCAAGAAATAGATTTTGTAATTCTGTTAAATAGACACAATTTCTAACTACCTCTGAATTCATCTCTGTCTATCCATGGATTAGTACAGCTTTCTTACCTTATCAAAGAAGTATTTACACAGTAGATATTTAACATAGAAACAACTGGTCCAAGTACAGAGAATAGGTATGAAGTGCTCATTCACAAAATATCTGAAGTAGGATCTACATCTTGCATATTGATCAGTTGTATGCTTATGTGTTCTCCATCACCACATCAATGACCAACATGGCACAGTAACCCAACAGGATCAGTAATGACACACATACCTTGGTGATAACCAATGGCTCTCCTCTAATTGGATTTTAGACTTGCTCAAAAAATAGGGATGTTATGACTGGTAATGGAAACTTAGCTAAGTGGTCAGTGCCAGTGAAATCATTGTTACTGGAGAAGACTCTATAAACACAAATTTACTAAAATTTGTATTTTAAAGGTTAAGTTTATTAATTGTGTGTGTGTGTGTGTGTGTGTGTGCGTGCGTGAGTAGCTGGTCCTCTGCAGCTGTTGTTATAGGTGGTTCTGACCCAAATTAAATGATTGCTAGTAACTGAATGTGGATCTTCTACAAGAGCAACAAGTGATTTTAACTATGGAGCCTTCTCACCAGTTCTAACATTATTTTGATTGGATAATTAAAGTAACAAAGTTTCAAATATGTATATTTCACATATAAATATCAATTAAAATAATTGTCATGCTTACCTCTTCTTTCTATTCCTCTTCTCGTTGACATTTTGATTTCCCCTTTCTCTGTAGTATAAACTCAACCTCCAAATACTTACTTTCCATTCTCTGACCTGCAGACGACATTGCAAATGTTGTACTGAAACTCATTTTTATCGTTCCAAAAGACTATTTCATACTAACCTACACTAACTTAAATACCATTTAAACATTTAGGTTTGCTTCAAATAAATTGTCCTATCTTTAAGTCTGTACAGAAATCTAAGCCAGAGCTATTGGAATGATTTGCTATGCTTTGAGATGCTAGTTCACACACATGCCTGAAGCTTTGTTTTTGTGCTATTCTTCCAGACACCAAAATTGCCAGCTATTGAACTAGATTTGATCACTTCCCTCCTTTGGCAGTGAGTTTTTTGCTATTATAGAAACATTAATATTACTATTCTTCAGTGAGAACAAAATAATGTAAAATTGACTTATTGTGTAGCAAAACATATACTTTTCTTTAGAACAAAAAATAAATAAATAAAATAAAACTTCTTGACAGGATAACTAAACAGCCAAATCGCTGCACAGTAGTCATTTCATTGCCCTTCAAAAAAAATACGAACATGTCTTTTCCTTCTAGAATAGACTGTTTTCCATCTTGTCTTGAAAGAGAATGGAACATCAAATACTGTTTTTCAACATTAGGATTCCAAGGCATACATTTATACATCCCTAGGAATCTTTTTTAAAATTGTCAATGCTGTCAAGCCTAATTGTCAAAAGCAACTCTATTATAGAGCTAGTATTTTAAACTAAAAATATGTTGTAAAGTTCCCAACTAATATAGCAATAGCACCTACTGTTTTATTCATAATTGCACTATTCACTGTCATTTTATATTTTATGTCATGTTTCCTGTAAGCAAGTTGAATTATCTCAATATTCTTCTTCTACAGGCCACATCATAAGGACTTGTGAAGGCAAATATTTAGTGAAATAATTGTGTGAAGATACCAGAGCAGTTGTATTAGCTTTAATTGTTGTTTTCCTCTTTTTTGTGAGAAACATTAGATAGGCAATTCCTTTAATTAACTGTAATATCCCTGTTATTAATATTTATACTTAGAAGATACTGAAAATATTTTATTACAATTAATTTTAACTTGGAGATGAGATTTGCAAAGTTTAAACCTCACAGTATGAAATAAAAACACATAATTATATGATAATCTAAGTACTTTAAAAGGAGGTAAGTGGATACCGTGGCAGTAAGAAAAGACACCTGTGAAGATGCTGATATGTGCTTTCTGCTTTTAAGGATATTTTCAGATGGGGATAGAAAATGTTAAATATAGACAGACAGGCTGAAATGCAGGATAGTTTCTTAAAAACAAGCCAATATATTTTAAATATATTTAACTTAATCTTGTGTAATGTGGCACAATTATAATGGCACAAAAAGTAAATGAGGTGCAGTACACAATCAGGCATACTGAAACCTTTAGCCTTCTTATTTGAAACTCATTTTAAAAGGAGAAACAGGTTTGTTTTATTTTATTTGTGGGTATATTTGTGTGTGTGCATATATGCATCCTAGGGAGGATATCTATGGTGGTCAGAATAGTGTCTAGATTTCTGTAGATAGAGTAATAGGCTGTTGTGAACCCACTGACATGGATGACAGCAACTACACTTTAGTCTTCTACAAGAGTGGAAAGTGCCCTTAAGAGCAGGGCCATTTCCCCAGCCCCTTTTGTGTACATTTGAGTTTATCAATGTAAAGCTGTAGCATGAGGATAAAAACTGAGACAATTAATTTAAACTTTATATCTATTGGGTGTCATGGTTTCCTGTTTCTTCAAATATTAATGTTTTTCTCTTTAAAAAAACAGTAAATTTTGCTACCTTGGCAAAACATTTCCCATTATCTTGAGAACAGTTTACTTATTTTTTCCCAAGTTTTAAGTATGCATAATTGGAAATAAAAAAATTTGTACTGCATACATTGATCATATAACATCATTTTTAAATATTAATAAAAAAATTTGTTCTAAATAAGATTGCATCAAAAATAACTCAATTTTTTTTTTGTTACAGGAGACAACTGCTTGGCCACTGAGTACAGCAAGATGAAAAGTATGCTTTTAGATTTACAAAATCAAAAGTACATTACACAAGAAAATGAGAATTCTAACGGTGATGACATACCTAGGAAGAAACTGTTGGTGGATCAAATGTTCAAGCATTTTGATGCAGACAGTAATGGACTTATAGATATTAATGAACTAACTCAGGTATGACCAACAATTAAATAAAATATCTTGATTAAGTATAGCAGATAGTGTTATTTTTGTTAGAATTTACTCTATGTGATAATAGATTTAATTTGTAGTACCAGAAGACTAGAAATGAATTGTTATGATAATATTTGACTATCTAACTGATATGCAGTGAAATGGTAGTATTGAAACCAGCCTTGGATGCATAATTTGATTGTGACTCAGGAAGCCAGGGGCTTACGATACCACTAAGTATGTGTATGCTAGATTTCTATCACCATAACCACAGGGGGGGGGAAAAAAGAATTAACTAATTTATCAGCAAGATGTATAAAATCATTATAGTATTTTATACTTTAAAAGAAATATACATTTTGTACCTTAAACAAAAATATAAGCCATGTTGTGGAACTTATAGGATTTCTTCTGATATATTCTGGAATGTGTTTACTGTACAGTTTCTTCCAATGTATAAAATGTTTCTTGGTAGTCATTTGAAGCAGAGGGTGTACACATTCTGGGGATGACAATGATGCACACTGTTGTGTAGTATAGCTCTGAACAAATTGACCAACGATTTGATTATAGTGTATCATCATTTGCCTTAATGTTGCATATATGATCAGACATGAAATTTATCTGTACTCTTATTGCCTTTGTCTATCTTTGATACTTGAGCAACACAGGATCATAAAGTGAATTACAAAGTACTCATTTATAGCTTCTAAAAGAAATTTTTTATAACTTATATCTCAGATGATTTATAAAATATAAGTCAGCCTAGTCATTTTTAGTTTGGGGTATAATTGGTATGACAACATCATTATAGTTACAACTATATTTTGATATGTCAACTTTATGAAATCATATTCAAGCATTTATTCAGTTTTCCAGGCTATCAAATTTGGAATAAATATAGAGTTATTCCTAATACTCATTTATTTCCCCTTTTAATATTTGCTATTTTTTTTTGTAAATTTTGTATTGAAAATAGGTTTTTCTCTCATACAATACATCTTGATCAGTTTCCCTTCTGTACCTTTCTCTCAGCTACTCCAGCTACTCCATGATCTTCCTTTCATCCCTAGATCCATTAGCCTCCATTTCCTCTTCCCAAAGGAACATGGATCCAAGAGACAACAGCCAAAGAGAACAAAACAGGATACAACAAAGCAAGGCAAAAGCCTTCATATCAAGGCTGGACAAGGCAACTCAATAGGATGAAGTTTCAAGAAACTTCAAGAAGTTTCAAGAAACAGGAAAAAGAGTCAGAGAAATACCTATTTCCACTGTTAGGAGTCACAACAAAAGAGCAAGCTAATAGCCATAACATGCATACATTACCATTCATGACCTGCGCTTGCCATTTTAGTCTCGGTTAGCCTATATGAGTCCTGCTTAGTTTTTTTGGTAGGCATGTTCTCCTCGTGTCTTCCATCCCCTCTGATTCTTATAATCTTTCTTGCTCTCTGTACATTTCTATGATCTCCAAGAGGAGGGACTCAATGGGAACTTCCATTGAAGACTCTTTGTGTCATGTCTGGAGTTCGGGTCTCTGTACCTGCTTCCATCTGCTCTTGTAGGAAACCTCACTGATAACAACTGTAGAAAACACTGATCCATGTGTGTAGCAGCAGAATTTCATTGAGTCATTTCATTTTATTGGTTTTGTATTGTTGTTGTTAGTTGTTTTCTGTTCTAATCAAAGTTTCTTTGCTATCCAGTCTCTATTTCTATCAATTTAGGCAGTGTGGTACATGGGCTCTCTCCTTTTTGTAACATGGGCTTCAAGTTAAACCAAACATTGGTTGGCCACTCCTGCAAATTCTGTGCTACCTTGGCCCAGCAAATCTTGCAAACAGGACAAATTGTGTATGTGTGGTGGGGGGCTGGGTGTGGGGTAGTGGCTAAGTTGGTGTCCATATTTCTCTTCCATGTGGAATGTAGAGTATTTTCTCATGCCAAAGAGACTAGGAGCTAGGGGTGAAGGCTCTATGTAGACACAAAACAGCCCTACTCTAAGTATTGTTCAGCAATAGGACCTGCTGTCTGTTTTCAGAGAGTGGCCTTCAGGCTTCATATCAGACTGGGCTCTTTAGGGATTTCTGCAGGACCCACTCAATCAGCAGCTCAACTGCATGTAACCCAGTGTCACCACAGAAGATGTCCAGTTCAGACTCCATATCATCCATTACTAGGAGTCCTCCCTAAGGTAGCCCTCATATATTACAGGAAGTTTCTATCGCGTTAGGGATACAAACCACTCCCACAATGCTACCCAATTCCAATGGTCTCTCAACTCATTCTCCACCCATAGCACCGTATCCTTCCTATTCCCATCACTACCTGCCTCCATTCCATTCACAATATTTTTGCTGTTTCTCCTTTCCATCCCCACCCACAGCCCTCCTATTCACCTCACCTCTCTGTGTCTGTTGATTGCTTAACAGCTAACAATCATGTAGAATATTCACAGGCTCCTTTGTGATGTCCTTTATATCTTCCCATAACATATTAGTGTCTTCCATCTATCAGTAGCTGTTTAGGACAATAATAAAACATTTATATGGGATCCTTGGAAAATATGTAATAAAGATATTGTGGAAAGTTTTTACCTATGGTTTTGCGGATTTAAGCAATCAGTAAAATAAATGGTTTCCTGTTAATTTGTAAATCATTTTCACAGACCATTAAAGGACATTATAAGATAAGATATACAAATTGCAAGTGATTCTAAGTTATACCAGTTACAAGTGATAATTAAAGTCTATAGCTTCTCCCTGAGATGTTATGAATACAGCTGGGATCTGTCTACATCTATTTTTCCTTGGTGCCCATAGTGAAGTTATGCTCTAGTGCTTTTCATGCATATTTGGAAGTGAATAAACAGCTACAGTCTTGTCTTTTGAGAGAATATTCATAATAAAAGGCAGTAATATAAGATGAAAATTTATAGTTAACCACTGAAGACATCATAGTTAAGAACTTGTTAGCAGGAGGAAAATTCTTAGATGAACATTCAAATCCCCCTTCTTTATAGAAGTTTAACATGGGTAAAAATAAACACAAATATTTTGTTTGGGTATGTAAAATATCTCAAAATAAAATGCAAATTTAATATAAAGTCTGGAATAAATAATGGATTAATATTGCATGTATTTAACATATTTAATAAAAATGGTGTTAGACCACTTGAGAGGAGAGATTTGTCATAGACATTTGAAGTTCTAGAAGAATTTAAAATGTAATGTTAAGCAGTAAGTTCCTATAAATATTAACACTGGATATCCCTTAACCATCAAGAGAGAGTATTCCATTGGCCAACCCCCCCCCCAAAAAAAGAAAATAGAGCCTGAACTGAAGAATTTGTACAATATATTATATATTAGAGTTATCAGTTTTTGTGATCATCGGTGGCAATCAAGAAATTTGATTACAGTGCTACTTATTTGCTATGTAGTATTTGGCATGTCACTTAAATCCTCAATTTCCCACATTGTCCATCTATGGCTAATCATGTCTATCTATGAGTATTTTGGCTAATAGTCATTACTACTTGAATTTGATGTGAGTATATACAAAATTTGTAAAAAGTTTATGAGTATACAGGTAGCATGATGCTGGATATAACACATTCAAATCAGACATTCATGGGGTACAGTGGGATTTAATGTAGGTAAAGAGGACAATTTTGCTTTAATTCGTGGAATGAATAAATGATAAATATTTCCATCATATTTAATCTTGGCATCTTTTCTGAGTTGTGGGAGAAAGCAATCAAATACTACTTGAAACTATATAAGCCAGTAATCTCTTTGCATAGCCTCTAACATGCAAAACATTTTTAGTGGAGGTTTATTATGAAATATAGAGAAATATATTCTGTTTTTCTAATAAATTAAAACATAAATGAGTAGATGAGGGCCTTAAGGCCGTCATCTGTCCTGTCTACCTTGGCCAGCAAGGAAACACGACCACAACTCTTCTTCAAGCAGTTTTTTCAGGAACCTTGTACATCAGCTTCTGCTTCTCCCAGTCCCAGCAAGCCCTTAAATGTACTCTCACTGCCCAATCATCTCATGCCACCTGGCGATCCCGGATAGGCCACAGAAGGAGGAAGCGCACTAGATCCATCAAGCACTTACAAATAAGGCTTGTTTACAGCTAAGCTCAGATTACTTGGCATCCAGCCAGGCGCCATCTTGGGGCTGTGGCTTTCCATACTCATCTACTTATCCCATGTTATTAAATCATAGAGTTTGGTCCAGAGACATAAATATTTTCCTTTGTAACCACTGAAATCTATATTTCCTATAATACCTAGTGTTCATATCCCTATAGATGGAAGTAAAATTGAACCAAATATAAGGTAAATTAAAAATATTAAAATTCTAGATGCTGATAAACATTGTCCTAATGTAGTTCTAGATATTTTTAAACACTAATGTCCATAGTTTTTCTCTATCAAATTAAGTTACATTTGATCAAAATATAATTTATATATTTATGGAATTCTAAAAGAATTTTAAAATAGTATATTAAAATGTTTAAAATATAAATTTAAAGTATATTAAAAAGAGTGAAAATATTTTAATAATGTAACACATATTTATGAATTAGTATATTTTAATTAACTATTTTAGTTGCTTCAAGATGTCATATCTGACTATGTATTATTATCATTATCATAATCAAGATTCTATTGCAATCTTATCTTTGTACTTCTTTTCCAATGCTACAAAAATAGATATTCAATTTTAAAATTTATTATGGATTCCACAGTTGTTGGGTAGGGCCAGGCCTTTCCTATATAGTCTCTCCCTTAACTGGTTTCAGTGCACTGTAGGTTTGAATACAAAACAAAATTGACTGATACATAAAACTGTCAAATTTTTAAAAATTTAAGAAGAGTTTCTAGCTAAGTTTATGATTTTGTCATAAATGAGACATGTTTTACAAAGTAGGTTCTAAAATGGAGATTAGCATGTGAAAAAATTTTCAGGAAGTGGCTTTAG